TTTTTTATTTGGTATATATTGTAATTATTTTTTAAAATAAAGATAAAATAGAAATAAATACATTAATGGCATGCTAAAAAAACAGACAACTAATTAAATTCAAATCCCTTAAATTAAAAAAAATATGTCTAGTAGTATAATTAAATAAAAGAAGTAATATTTTTAAAGAAAATAATGAAGTCCTGAACTTTAAATTTATTCTTTGTAAGTCCTTAGCTTAAAATTTATTCTTTATAAGTTTGTGTTGTATTCAACCTTATAGGATAATTAGTTGGACACACATTCTTCACTGAAAAGAGATGAGTTCGAATTCCTCACCTCAACCTTAAATAAAAGATTAAAAGAAAACAATGCTCATTCATGCGCATGATATAAGACAATAAAAATTGGATAACATCAAGTGGATAGGACACTCAACCAAGATTACTCTCAGTTTTTGTTCAACTGTGACTGTCTTATTTTATGAGCTAAATATCTCATTTGACCACTGCATTTCCTTGTAGCTGATCCATATCTTTTTTTTTTAATCATTATATGAAAGCAAAGTAATATCCCAGAAAGTCTATGGTTGGAAAGATGGTTGTCTCTGGAGGATAGTCCAGGTCAAATGCTCTTTCCTCAACCATCTCAAGAAGCAAGCATTGGAAATCATTAGGGAAATCGGCCTGCAAGAGTTTGTGAATATCCAGTGCACACGCTTCAAACGCCATTTTAAACCCAAAAGATCGATTGAGTTTATGAGTCATGGCATGTATACGTACATGCCTTCCATATTTCCGACGTGAGACTTGAACAGTGGTTGAAACCAAACAGTAAACATGCAACAGCTAAAACAAACATGAAACACCCTATTAAATTTTCAAGAAACTGCTTGAATTCAGTTGAAAAGATACATGGAGAAAAATAACAAGACATTTACACTACATATTGAGCTTCTCTGTTCCAGCTCCTCACTAGGGATTTTTAGACAAATTTATTCAGTTTGATTGACTATATACACTCTTTATCCTGAGGGAAGTCCATTCGCAACACCAATACATAACATACTAAGCTACAATATCTCATGTTCTGTTTACTGGTTAAAACACCTAGTCCTCCAATGACCATAATCCAGAAAGCTAGTTTCCATTATTTGCCCGACGCCACCATTTCTGTTTTTTCTGCCTAATATTCGGGTTTTTAGGACCAGCCACTGGCTTAGGAAGATCCTTCACATCTATCAACTGCGTTGTCCTTTGCCTTTTAGCTGTTAAGAAAATAAGATGAGAACTGCCATGGAATTATTTGAAATTGTAACAAGAAGATGAATGCATACCAAACTCAAATTGCTGATAATCTTGCTTGAGTTTCCTTGTGGTCGCTTCAAATTTTTCTTGAATGGTGTTTTTCTCTAGACACTTAAATTGCTGCTAGACCAGAGATTGAAAAGAACAGATAAAGATCGAAAACCTGATATTAGAAACTATATGCACGATAGTTTCATTTGTGATACTTACACCCAGCTTATCTGCTGGTGGCCTCATCGAACTTAAATTCTTGTATGATTCCAAGTTTGAGAGATTGGCAGTTGCTGGCTCAGTCCATTTTGCATTATATTCTTGTTGTCTCCTGGCTGCTTACATTAGAGAGCAAACCTTACGGTTACTTGTAAATCAAGAAACAAGTATCTAAATAAGGTGGTTTGGGATATTGAAGAATGGAAGATGTACTAACCGTTTTCAGCATCTCCTTTTTTCTCTGTTTCTTTGATTTCCTAGAAGGAGAACAAGTTGCATACATCAGATGGAAGATTAAATTCAGAACAAGTTAAATGTTACCACAAATAGGATGAATAAGGAGGAAAAAGAGAAAAACCTGTTGATTCTTCGATGGCTGCTCTTTCTTTATCAGGGTGGTATTCTGACCTCCCTGCAAATCAGTTCTCTGACTGATCATTGGCTCACTTTCTTTCTTTGAATTTTGAGGCAAAGTCTCAATATCTGAGGGTCTAGCTTCAATAGGCTTAAAAACAGGTACTTGCTTAACTAGTTGCCACTTGTCATCCATTCCTAACATTCTCTCCTTGGTGAAGTTTTTGGGACGATGGCATTTTCTAGCTGCAATATTCATTTCAATTTCCATGTTGTTTTCAAGATCTGGAACAAGATTGTACGATGAAAATTTATGTTACAAGAGAGAGGAGAGTCCAGAATGATAAAACTGCATTCAGGTGAGTTAAAGGACTCACTTCCCTCCTCGTCTATTCCTTCAAAGAACTTCAGAATCCGATTAAACATTAAAGAATCAGCAGTTAGTCTCACTAATCCAATCCTGAAATTCCAGCATTATCAAGACTTGAAGGAAAAAGAAAGATATATACCCGAGAAAAAGAAAGCTCCATTGGAAATTGAGGGGTAAAGGCTCCTATGTCTAATGGAGGCTGAGGAAGTCCACATTCTTCTTCAATTCCAGAAGGATTGGAATCCAAAGACTGTGGTTCTGAGGCTGAAAAATTGATCACAAACACTCTCATTCAATTTAAGTCTCAAGGGAAAGAAGAATCACAGTGCAAACAAATTCCTAGTTAAGTAACAAAACCACCTGCAATGGTATCCTCAGAATCAAACCACTTGTCTACCTGGATCTTCCAAGCTCTGCAAACATGCAACAACAAGTCAACATTTCGTAAGGTAACTCATTACCTTTCTACACCAAGTGCTGCTAAATAAACTTGAGGAGGTTGATTTATTGAGGTTAGCCATAAACTTAATTAAGCTTATTTTCTTGTAAGGTGAAATAAGGCTTGAAAACAACAGATTTGGGAATGCATTATCAAGAAGTATACATCCTAGAAACATAAAATCATACTGGATGAGGCTCTGAGCAAGCTGCCTGATTTGAATCGACTTGTGCTTGTGAAGCCTGTTAACTGGTTTTCCAATCTCTGTATTCTGAAGAAGAAAAATACATTGAGAAGTCAGAAGCCAGTCATGCTCCAGTAAAGCTAAAAGGTAAAGTAGAAAAGCAACATTTGTGATTGAAATTTAATCTCCTTAAAAGATTCATGCTTTTCTTTATATAGATATAACTCAATCTAGCAGGTTAGATAAAAAAATTATTTATATATGTCATCTGGTGCAATCACATTGGCGCGTGGAACACAGTCGCCAACTGATTAATTTTGATGAAATAGATATCTTCTAGAAATAGAGATCATCTCCACGTGTAATAAAGCCGTTACAAACAATAATAACAGTACTACTTACAAACTGTATTTAACGAATTTTTGAACATGGCAAGTTTGCGCCAGAAGATAACCAATCTTAATTCTGATAGAATAAAATCACAAGATTGAACTCCATGTGAAATGCTGTAAGTTGTGTAAAAACACCATCTTATTAATTCAAGCATCTAAGCAACTCTCTAGCTATACTCAGAAAAATCTGACAGTAACACAAATTCAATTCTGTTCTAACCTTTAGCATCTCAAATGAAAGGTCCATCAATTGAAGCCTCCTTAATGAATCCAGCAGTACCCCCTGAGACTGTTAAAAGATAAATTAGGCACAAGATAATCAAAACAACATAAAAAAGGGGAAATGTCATAATGTCCTCAAACTGAATTGGCAATAGAAATTCAGACAAACCTCATCTTCATTCTGAATGATTTCCTTAATCCTGTAAACCTCTTGAATGTTCTCATTCTCTTCATCAATCTCTGCTGTTAATGCCTCAGCTTCGCTGTAGCTGTATTTACTCTTTTGAGGATCATAAGGGAGAACTTCTACCTCACTATCCTTGCTACCACCTATTACCCTCAAATCATTACCAGCATTGCCATGTAAACTTTCCTTTTCACTAGGATTCTCGTTACTGGCCAATTCACTATGATTGTGACTACAGCACTGACTCCATCGACAAGAGTAAACTTTCTCAACAATTTGACCCCTCAGGAGATGGAACTCCTCAGGGTGATCTGTACCAGCCACTGAGATTGCATGATCTATAATCTCAAATATACTTACATTTGCACTCCTAAAGAAATTTCTCCAATGATCTAACCCCTCAGATTTCATGGTCACAACTTAATACACATAAATCTCACCTAAGATTATACAGTCATCACCATCAAAACACTAAAAACTTGGTGACTAAATCTTCTGATCAAAACTTGCAAGCAAAAAATATCAAAAATGGGTGTTGGAAAATTTAAAATCTTTGATCAAACACATCAAAACCCAATTGTTCTTTTTCAAAAACAGGGTGCTGGGATTCAAAAAAATTCAACAATTTCTCAAAAATGATGCCTTTTCTTACACTTACTCATGAACCAAACAGGCTGAACACAACCAAAGCTCAGGTGAAATGCTAGTTTAGCAGGAGGAAAGAACAAGATTTGGATATGAACTGAAAATGATGAAAACCATTTTTTCGCATGACCGAGGGAGAAGGCAGCAAAACAAAGAAGAAACTCCGGAAATAAGTAATGCAAAAATCACGTTGGGGAGTTTTGGTTGTTTTCTGGAGAAAAAAAAACAAACATTTAAAGTAGCAAAAAGATATGTATTCCCAGAAACCCATTTTAGGGCATTCCAGGCCAAGGATTTTTGGTTTACTATTTTCTTTCTTACTAGAATCAATGCTCAAAACCAGATTGTTGACATCAGACAGAGTTTTTAACCTTATACAAGCTCCCTAGATTTTCTCTTTCCGCCTCCATATGGAAAGCTACTGACAATATTTGGAAGCTTCTGACATCAGTGAATGCGGAGAGAAACGTTACAGTTTGGCGGCCGTGTTTGGCGCCCCAGCAAATACTTTCAGAATCGTTTGTTTCATTGGCTTGATACACCATATGTTTCAAAACAA